TATCCCGATATAGATCGTTATATAAATAATAATTTACAATGCATAAAAATATACGTTTCTAATCGAACTTTTTATATAAAATTTTACGTCACAAACGAAGAAAGCAGACGACGATCATCGGTAATGGAAACCATTCGCCATAACGCAAATAGATTTTAGAAGAAACAAAAACAATAAACAAAACATAGATTAATATTCAGGTTTGTTTCATTACTTATTAAGTTATAAGTTATTTATTCGTACTGATAATTTTTTCATAGTAAGACAAGCCAAATATATCGCTGAAAAATTACTATTATACTTAATTCTTAAATATATAATTTCTTAATTAATAGTGTTTTTACTATTGATTTATTTCAAATCATTACTGTTTGTGTTAACGTAACGCCCACTATTGCTTAGAAACATTTATCAGTTAAGTTCGGGACCACAACTTGTACGAGGCCCGAACTTAACTTGTGCGGGCCCCTTCAGCCATATTTTCTCATAAATGAAATACGTCGACTATTTCTTTATTAATAAAAAGCAATCTTAAAAATTTTATTTTCTGTTAGTAAAATAACATGGATTTTATAGGGTTAAGTTGCACATCTTTTATGCGTAGAGCGAGTCGGCTCAACGTTACCATTAGTCTTTTTAAAACCAGATTTAGGGTGCGACTATGCAGACGCGAATTTAGAGCGAGCGATTTAGTTTTCGCAAAGGAAAACCACGCATAAACGAGAAACGAGAAATAACGCTGGCGAGAGCGAATTTCTGGTTCTCGCACATATCTAACAGGTTTTAATATTTATCGCGTCTCGCCTTTTCTCGCCACATATTCTCGCTCTCTTGGAAAATTCGCTCGCTCGCGTCTGCATAGTCGCACCCTTAGGCTATGTACAGTACACACTAGGCATTTTTAAACGCGCGTTTTGGTAATGTGCGTTTTAATAAACGCGCGTTAGCAGCGTACACACCGCGCGTTGGCTCGGCGTTCGACGACCGTTTAGTGGAGCGTACGCACTGGCTCAGTTTGGAAATGGACGTGAAAATAATTGCTTGTGTGTGCCTCCTCCATCGTCGATATAAAAGACGATGGCAGAGGCAAAGAGAATTTTGGGTGTACCCAATATTACGAGATAGACTGACGCATGGAATGTTTGTGACGTTGTATCCAAAACTAAGACAATGTGAACCCAAGTTTTTTAATTCTTTTAAAATATCTATAAAATCATTTGACGATGGTTGGTCTCTTTTAGATTTCATCAATAAATAGATCAGTATCGAAATGATCGTTCTCCATTTCGGCCAATGTACGTCCACCCTACCCGAAAGCGCGCGATCGAATTGTACATTCGATCGCGCGCTTTCGCGTACAACATAGCAGCACATATATCTTCAAAGCGCTCGGCTGACGCCCGCAAAACGCGCGTTTTAACAAAAATCTATCAACGCTCGTTTGACGCGCGCTTGACTAAAAGCGCGCGTTTGAGTATGTATGCCTATGCAGAACTCTTGGTTCTTTAAAACGCGCGTTTAAAAACGCCTAATGTGTACACAGCCATAGTCTTTTATTTTTCAATTCGGTTTATTTTTTTCAATTTGGTTTATAGTTTAAATATTTAGTTTATTCTTTTTTCTGCGTACTTTTTTCTAGCCCTGTTTTGCAATACACTTTTACTGCATTAAAAAATTTTTGCCTTGCGTTTCATAATCTGCAATGTAACAGTAACATAATTATCAGTTTCTACCATAATTTTCAGATTTTAATAATAAATTTGAGCGTTCCATCAATAATTGTAGCATTATTTTTCCATTGTACCAAAATTTAAAAATCTACTAAAAAGTCCGCAACAAAAAGTTTTAATTGAAACGCAGCGAGCAAGCTTCTTTGGTAGCGACTCAAATTGACAAATCGCCGAAATACGTCTTACGAAGAAATAACTCGACCGATTCGAACTAAATTTTTCACTAGAACTAATAAAGCGGTGTGTCGATAACGGGCGGATGGCCGAATGGTCAATGTGACAGCCTACCATGTTAATTAATGCATTAATGTTTAAGGAACAAAGGTAAGAATTAACTGCTTTGCATACGCAGAATGACGAATCGCTTTAATTTAGCGCCCCAGTGATTAACTTGTAAGATGAGTTCGCAAGCTGCCGCTTCGCTTCAGTCGAGGACGAATTCTCATAGTTTATTTTTAAATTATACTTTTCTAAATCTGCGCCTTCTTCCGTGCTTGTATCTGATTTGACATTTTCGGAAAAGAAAACGAATTCTGTCCATCCTTTACTGAGTAAACTGTCTACTAGAATTTTTACCAAAACACTATAATCTATTGATGCCCAATGGAGTCAATTGTACTGTACATAGGGAGTCAAGGTGAATTACTAGTGGTATATAAAAAAATGAAAAGCTGGTTGATAAATACCGGTGCAAACTTTCAAAACTTGCCTATATGACGGGAGACTTGGAAATTTAGACTTGGGAAAGTTTATTTTAACTTTATTGGTATTATCACTCTCCAATATTTTGTGCGAAAATTTTTTTTCCAAAATTAACTTATTAAAACGAGCATTCGTAACAAACTCTCAACTCTCTTTTACGGAAATTATTAATGGTTTTTTATTAGCTTCCAAAAATACCAATAGAGAATATTTTTCGTTAAATGCATGTCAAAAAATACTAAATGCTATGAATGTATGCTAAATGCTTTTTGTATAGTGTTGTTTGCTTAAACGGAGAGACTCGTGCTATTTCATTACTTCTTTCCATTTGTCAAAATCTATGCATCAATACGATCTAGGCCAGGAGTGGCCAACAGTTTTTGCCCCCGGGCCGAATTGGAAAGAAAACTTTTTCCACGGGCCGAACCAGAGGCTGCCCTAGGAAGATTTTGAGGTGGTGCGAGATCTCATTGTGGTGTCTCCCCGTAGAGACCTTTTTTTAGGCGTCAGAATTTTTCATCGAGCTATTCAGACTTGAATAGCTAATATTGAAAAATTGATCGCGGGCCACATAAAATCATTAGACGAGCCGTATGTTGGCCATACCTGATCTAGGCCAACTAATTACCCTTGTCCCCTCGATTTATTTCTTGTTTTTCTGTAAATAATATAGAATTGAATAAAAGTAATTTTGTAATTACACTAATCTTTCTGTTGTATTCTAAGTAATATTTTAACTTAATTTACTTGAGGGAGTTGTTTCATAGTTTTTATAATGGTTTATTTTTTGGTTTAATATCGTAAAAATTTAGTTTATTTTAGTCTGTTTTGACCCCATATCGGAGTCAGACTAAATTATTTTGAATAAATTGAGTTGGTAATATTGAGAGTGACCATATGTCCAGATTTGCCCAGGACACACTCGGATTTCGCCTGATTTTAACTCTCAAAAATACTGTAGAAGAAAATTTTAAATAAGTTTTATGGTACTTCTAATGCAACACATCATTATCTAGATCAGTGTTTTTCAACCTTCTTGAATACGCGACCCCTTTACAAGTTAAAAAATTCTGGCGACCCCCTAGGGCCATATTAAAACTATATCAGTGATTTTAAAAACTATGTATTTAATTTTCTCTCTGTTGAGACAAATTATTGTTGATTAAAGTGAAAATTTCAGAAGAATCGACGATAACTTAACACACATAAAGTATGAAACTTCCTTTAATTATAACATTCGGCACAGGAAGATGTTGACCTTTTTTTTTGTTTAGGATCAGAATTTTCAGCTTCTACGTTTCTACTTTTTATTTCTTTTTGCAGATCAGCTCAACACTTTCCGCTATCATTTTCTGGGGTGGGCCGTAATTCTCGCTGAAATTGTAGTTTTTTTAATGTAGTGTAGGACCTACAAACACTTGTCTTTTTCTTTTACCCGCGACCCCCCGTGTAACGCTTCGCGACCCCCTTGGGGGTCGCGACCCACAGGTTGAAAAACACTGATCTAGATCAACGTATGGTATGTAAAAAATGTTTAGTCATTTTTAGACTTGTTTTTCGCTCACTCTTACAAACAATCCCGATTTACGAGGTAAACAATTTGCTCACTCAATTAATTAATGTGTGATGCATTTCTTTTATCAATATTAGGACGCTAAACACGAAAATAATGAAATTTAATTATTAATTACAGTTGAAAATAAAAACGTAAACGTAATGCAAAACATAATTTACTGCATATATCATATATTTAATGCGTCAAAATAACTCTCATCACAAATAACAATCATTTCGTAGAATCTTTATACTGTATAAGCTTTTTTTTACAATATGCTACTTTTTATATTTTAATAATAAGTAAAAATTGTTTCGGGCAAGATATTTTTGTCGAATTGGTCGGACATAAAATTCATTTGTATAACTGATAAAGATAAAAAAATTTTTCAGTCTGATTCTTGAATATTTTTGGTATAAATTTCGATAGACTTAGGCTGTGTACACATTAGGCGTTTTTAAACGCACGTTTTAAAGAACCAAGAGTTCTGCATGGTATACACACTCAAACGCGCGCTTCTGGCCAAACGCGCGTTGATAGATTTTTGTTAAAACGCGCGTTTCGCGGGCTTCAGCCGCGCGTTTTGAGATACATGTGCTGTCATGTTATTGTACATTCGATCGCGCGTGTTCGGGTAGAGTGGAAGCATGTTGGCCGAAATGGAGAACGATCATTTCGATACTGATCTATTTATTTATTGATGAAATCTAAAAGAGACCAGCCATCGTCAAATGATTTTAAAGATATTCTAACAGAATTAAAAAACTTGGGTTCACATTGTCTTAGTTTTGGATACAACGTCACAAACATTCCATGCGTCAGTCAATCTCGTAATATTGGATGCACCCAAAATTCTCTTTGCCTCTGCCATCGTCTTTTATAGCGACGATGGAGGAGGCACACACAAGCAATTACTTTCACGTCCATTTCCAAACTGAGCCAGTGCACACGCTCCTCTAAACGGTCGTCGAACGCCGAGCTAACGCGCGTTTAACGCAACGCAAAACTCTTAATGTGTACACAGCCTTAGGTAGGCTCAATGGCGGCACTTCCGGAATCACGATTACATGTGTGTTTTGAAAGTTAATCTAGGTGTTTGTCTTTAGTTTACAAGTTTTCTAATATCATTTCAGAACTAGAATAATTTCCTAACATTTTATAACTGTGTTAACAGTAATTTAAATTTTTAGGTTCAGAAAGTTATGTATTATGT